ATGATTCTGTCGTAAACCGGAAGTCAACGGTAGTTGCCGGATGTAGTCAACAATTAATTAAGGTTTTTAGTTGAGATGAAAAAAAGCTAATGGCACGAGAGGGATTCGAACCCACGACCTTCGGCTAGATACGCCGCTGCTCTACCACCTGAGCTATCGTGACCTCGATGCATTCGGACATCAACTCCCCATCTCAACCCCACCTTATGAGTTTTCCCTCCTTTTGCCATTTTTCAGCCGAGTTGATGTCCGAGTGGATCGAGGTCACGATAGCTCAGGTGGTAGAGCAGCGGCGTATCTAGCCGAAGGTCGTGGGTTCGAATCCCTCTCGTACCATTAGCTTTTTTTCATCTTAACTAAAAACCTTAATTAATTGTAAAGTATTAATTGGTCAAGCGGACCACGAAATTAGTGAATTTAAGGAAGTAGTCAACAATATTCATCGGTAGACCGCCTAAACAGAATCGACCAAAACGCCGTCTCCTAAACGATTCTCTCTCTAGAAAAATTGAGACTTTCATACAGGCTCTAGTGTATAACGTGTGCTCTAGTGTATATAATTCAGGGTGGCAACCTCGTTGATCAAGCTCCATGGATTCCTATACGACATCGATCACGTCTTGAAAATAATCGGGCCAATATCAAAACCAGGCCGCCCGTTTATGGTCTCATCGATAAAAGTTACAAGTCAGAGGCTTTGTCACCGATCCCATTGTCTCGCCAACGACACAATTCCTGACCCGTTTCCGCCGGCGCTAATCCGTCATTTTTAGGTTTCGGGGACGAAACGAGCCCAAAACGGAAGTGCTAAGGTAGACTTGGGTCATAATATTCTTATTTTCATTATTGGCTCAATCGGGATGGCCGGGGAAAAACGAAAAATCAACATTGAGGACGATGTTGTAAGAAGGGCGTGGAATGCCGACCGCAGCCGAGTTTGGTAATCGGATTACGCAATGCGTTTACCGGTCGAGTTCAGTGGTAATGGTTACCATTTGCGTCCTTTGCACCGGCTAATTGTCCCATCACAGCTTCGTCAAAAATGAGATAAAATGTCAGAGCCAAACCTGCCATGAAACGTGATCGCTTCTCGAAAAATCTGTCTTACAAGAACAGATTACCAAGTTATAATAAACTAACTGGCTTAGATTGGCTCAATCGTTTGCCATCATGCCGACACCATTTTATACAGGTAAGTACGCAATGCACAATTTTCAACGACCATAAACCAACTCTTACATACATGATATCATAGAAAATATTGACTGAAATTAGCGCTGATGATACAAGCCATTTATTGTAATTTCTATTTGAAGTTTGCGGGATGATGACACTGCAGTTTTGCCGTTTCTGACCGTTTAGGTCAAGTTGGTGCTGCCCGTCTGTCATATATGTTTATGCATTTACCATAATCAAGGAATGTAGACCATATGAGAAACATGTTGGCATTATGAATTAACACATAGATAAAGCCATTTTTATCAACTGTCTAAGTGGTTTCTCCAACAAAACAACTACTGCAGTTATGCTAAAACATCTTCTCACTGGCAAAGCCAACTAGAGTTAGCAGAAGTTTGGCTGTCTTTTTGCTGTCAGATAAATCTGGTTAAGATGATTGCTTGATTATATGATTTAGAGAAATTATAAAAGGACAATAATGACATAAAGACGCAAATGATGAACCACTGACAAACGTGAAATACCGAAACGCGTATGCTTAGATCGAGTTTTAGCAAACTCAGACCAAACTATACATTAATAAATAAAAATTTCCTCCTCGATAATTTATGATATTTATCAAATATTAAAAAGTGACTTAAATTAATTATACTTTGTACCTAAAGTCTCGGTTGAAGTGAAAAAACTAGGGTCATGACTGGGAATCGAACCCACGACCTTCGTCTAAAGACGCCGATGCTATAGCCACTTGAACTCTCGACTTCGACCCACATGGAAACCAATTCCATCTCAATCTACAACCTTTCGAAGTTTCCCTTTTTTGCCATGTATTCAAACATCGTGAAATCAGGATTCGATTCTCGGCGACAAGAAATGGCCTCAGGGAGCTGATAGCGAAGTAAGTACTTCTGCAATTATTATAATAATCCATATACGTATTTATTATATGTATAATAAACTCCACATCTTATCCTACAACCTTTAGAATTTTTCATTTTTTTGGCCATATTTTTAAATATCGTCAAATCAGGGTTCGATTCACGGCGACATGAAATGGCATCGGGGAGCTGTTAGCAAAGTAAGTACTTCTGTAATTATATATTAATATAATGAATTTCATACGTTATAATTACCGATTAATTATTTAAATTAATCATACATTTTAGCTAAAGCAGCGGCGTATTTAGCCTAAGGTCGTGGGTTCGAATCTCGTTCACGATGACGTGACGTATAATTAATTTAACTAATTAATACGGTGAATTATGACAACTAAATACATACATGAATTAATTTACAAATTGAACTGACTGCTCATTACTATTGTTAATAAATCATATTCATGAAACTTTAAAAATTGAACTCAACGCCCACGCATTGTTGTTAATAAAACAAAGCTCATGCAAAAAGAAATCTTCAGAAAGAGTCTTGTAATGGTCAAACAAACGTGTTTCCGTCAGAAATGAAAGAAATGGGAAGAAAACAAACATTTGCATAGACTTTCATTTCCCTTGTAATATGAATAATAAAATGGAAAAAACCCTTTCTCCGTACACGCGGTTTAAGCCGGCTTAAGCAGCCGACGTTGCCCCAGAAATCTAGTTTAAATTCGTTAACAGTGTGCTAGGTAGCAGAATAAAATTAGATTTGGGACGAAAATTGAAAAGTACGTTTTAAATTCGGAAAGGCTAGGTTTACTCGAGTTATAATTATAACTAAAGAGGTGATTTCTGACACGGTATTTTATCGAGTCATTCAATAATTACAACCATTCTATCCTACCTACTCGTAATTTGAAATACGTGATTTCACTTATTCAAATAAACAAAACAACTTATTGTTTTCTTTAATAGAATTTTTTTTCAATTGTGTTTGTATTCAAATCTGTCCAGTACATCTATGTTAATGTCTTAATGAATATAAAGTGAAATAATAAACTCATATGCCTTTAAACTGTCACACCTCCTCAAAAAATACAAAAGAAAGTACAGCTGAAAAAATTTAATTAAAGTTATAAATATTATTTAGTAAACAATAAATAGTAAAATTTAGTATTGAGTTTTCTATCGACAGAAGGCTGATTACATTAAAAAAATTAACATCAGCAACTTCAACCTTTAAAATCAGTACTGATCATCCAATTGTGCAGAACCTATTTTTTAAGTTTTGAGGATCGTAAACTGCAATCAAGAGATCGAGCGAATAATGTACATAGGGGCAAAAATATTTTCTTATTGCCAAGCTCTTTTTAATTCGATTTAAAAAAATAGTCTCAGAACTTTTGAAGTTTTGAAGTTTGAAGTTGTATTAACTTAAATATAGTATACAACTGAAGTACAAGTGTATATACACAGGGAAATTGGCTATGGGCACTGTTCAACCTAGTGGCAGAATTTATTACAATTTACGAATTAGTTTTACGAATAGTTAAAACCACTTGCAAAGTGATATATATATATATATATATATATACATATATATATAATAAATCTGTATAAGATGTAAGTATGTAATACAAAACTATAAAAATGATGATATAGTACTTCTAATATTTTATTTTTTGGTGTATGCAGTATTATTGCTGAATTGATCATGTGAAATTAGTTCAGGTTTTTCCATTTTCGATTTTTTTTTCATCCTCTAGTTCATATTGGTATTCTTCTAGTATTTGCATGTGTATCATATTTCTTTTGGCCCAGAGCCAGCGTATTTATCCAGCATGTAGGGAAACGTGGCTGAATGACTCTTTCTTAATTGGAGAGTAATATTCTTTGGCTCTTTATAGAAAGCGAATAGGAAAGCAGTTCAATATGAGAACTGTTCAGCGAAGCAGCAAGTTTGGGTCCCCTGTTTCGATTTTTAGAGAAAAAGGGCGCTCTTATTGTTTATAATTTTTAATAGTTATCTCATATTATGATTGTTAGCGTATATTGACAGTGAATTTATTAGTGTGAGAAGGCTGCTGGCGGAATATTGAGTACCCCATCAACCCTGAGATCAGTTATATGGTATATGAAAAGGGCGTTTGAGAAATAACCAATATTCCAACAACCTAATTGAGTAAATGGTATGTAAATAGGAAAGAGTATGTTTTCTCAGTGAGAGTGTGAGTGTGCCTTACTTTTAAAAACTGCATGCGTTGGATGCTGAAATGTCCTAGCCGCTCACAGCTCCTGGATCCTATTTTCGCCGGTTTAACGTATAAAACCGAGGTCCATCTTCGGACGGTCAAAACAGCGAAGTTGGTGAGTATTAGTTATAAACTCAATTCTTTATATGTGTTTGTGTATGTCTATATATGTTTGTTATGTGTAGAATTGAGCTTGTATAAATCGATCAATTGCTTTCCAAAAATTGATTGAAGAGGTTTGGTCAGGTTCGATGTAATTCAGAATATTTTTCATTTATTTCAGAGAAGTTTACAAAACTTCACTACGTATACGCTTAACAAACGTGATAATACAGTAATAACACTAGACTTTATGAACTTGAGGATGACCCGAATAAAGGTCGAAACGTCGGCAATTAAATGTAAAAGGTGTTTATCTGAAATACATCTAACCTTCAACCACTTACTGAACCACCGGTCGCTAAACAACTCACATTAATTTTTTCATTTTTTTAATTTACTGTTTATTGTTTTGTTTTCTGATATTGTCGATTTGTGGGAAACTTAGAAAATTATGGGATTTTATGTTGTTAAATTGAGTGTGAGAACAAATTCGCAAGTGAAAGTGACTTTTTATCTATTTTAGATATGGTTTATATTAGACAGTAAATATTTATTGATAATAATATATTGATTAGGATAGTTAAAACCTTACCTGTTTAGCCCTGGTGCGCGCTGCTTGCAGCTCTTCATGATCACGGATCTGGTCGCCGTGCACATCCGAGAGGAGGTTCTCGAAGTATTCCTCATACTGGGCCAATCTGTGGACCTGTAAAAACAAAATAACAATGAGTGTCACAAGTCGTCGACGCCAATTTAATAAAAGGCGATGTTGATAAGGCTAAACGGGCGTAGGCCCGCCTCTCAGCTCTAGCGGTCCGGCGCATTCCATCGGACCTAATTTGCATGGTGTGGAAGAAGGTCCTTGTTACGCATCAGGCGATCCAGAACAAATAAACAAAAACGGATTCCGCAACAGTCAATAACCAGACCAGGCCACAATGGAAGCAATATCGTAAATCAAATTCCAATCGTGAATCGTTACCATTTTAGGAATTCCACTAAAGGCCTACTCACGCTCCTGTTTTAAATCAGTTTACAGAGATTCCTGCCTTTAATTATATTTTATATATTAATTTAATTTATTTTAATTATATCTATGTTTGGTAGTTGAAAAATAACATTAATTTTGAATTTTACACGTGCGAAATAATTTGTCTAACTTAACCCTTCTTCCATAATTAATACCGATACAATACTACAACCAACCAAACTTAAATAATCTCACTTTTCGTCTATGACATGCAATAGTGGTATTCTAAGAATAAAAGCAAATGTTACTCTAAATAATTATTGTTCGAACAAATGTTTCATTTTTTCATTTGCAGCTATAAATAGGAACCAGATGGATGTTGATTCATGACCCAGTTACCTTGTTTATTTGATTATTGAACCTTTTGGTTACGAATTATAAAAGTCATGTAGGGTATTCGTGCGAGATTTGCATTGTGTTAAACGTATATTAATATCAATATATTCAGATTCGATTTGACACCACCATGACGACCAAGGAGATTAATTGATTGGCTTTACGCTAAAGATTGTCGGCGTTATGTAATCGTTTGAAGAATTTGAATTTTATTCCGCTCATTACGGAAATTAACTTCCGTTCTCACTCTTGCTTCTTTTTTCTTTTTGTTTGTGAACTCTTTCCTCAGAAACAACTCAGGTAACCCAACAGAAACAACTAATGCCTGTTTTGAAAGGATTTTAGAAAATAACATTGGTTCAACAATAAGCGGAAGGCAGAACGTGCTAGTGTCGAGTATACCAGTTCTGAAATAGTGCTATTGCGTCATAAATTCATATAAGTCCTCGATATTAGCACGATTAGCATGCATACTTTTATTTTGAGTTCTGTAAAAACTTCTTGATACGGTCAGAACCCACTAGCAACACATCCTCGTAATGTTTCAGCGTGAAAATGAGATTTGTCCTTTACCACATAAACGCTTTTCAGGAATTTACTAAATTTATCGGCCTTCTGATGTCACATATGTTGTAGAATATTAGTGAGGAAGCCAGCAAAGAAAAACTTAAAAATTATCTTCAAGCTTCGGCCTATTTTATGTCTTCATCAGGAGTACAGTCTATAACTAACTTCCGTTCCCACTCTTGCTTCTTCTTTTCTTTTTGTTTGTGAACTCTTTCACAGAAAATGACCCAACTAAGGCTATTTTTAAAAGATTTTATAAAATAACATTGGTGCATAAGCAGAAGGCAGACGTGCTAGTGTCGAGTATGATATCAGTTCCGAAATAGTGCTCTTGCGTCATACACTCATATAAGTCCTCGACATTAGCACGATTAGCATGAATACTTTTATTTCGAATCCTGTAAATGCTTCTTGGTACAGACAGAGGCTTTAGGCTTTCGACAGGGTCTGGCATCCAGAAGCAGATACAGGCCGGTGTACCGCAAGGTCTTTGATCCTATCCTGTATATCATTTATACTGCTGATCTACCAATACATCCTGACACTATTATCACCACCCAAGCGGACGACACCGCAATCCTGTCCTCTAACTCCAATCCTGTCCAAGCTACCTCCAATATCCAGGAAAACCTTGAGCTTATTAAAGACTGGTGTACAAAAATGGAGGGCAAGACTGAACGAAGAAAAATACCCTCAGAGTACTTTTACGCTGAAAAAGCAGTCTTGTACTCCATGGAACATCAACAACAAAGAGATACCAGGTTCCACTCAAGTCAAATACCTGGGACTACAACTCGACAGCAGACTGTCGTGAAATCCCCAAACAAGATTTAAAACACAACACTTAATACAAGACTTGGTCTACTAGGAAGACTTCTAAGACCGAAATCGACTTTGACAATTAAGGCAAAGCTAACACTGTACAAGACTTTACTAAGACCCATATGGACATACGGAGTGGAACTGTGGGGTACTGCCAAGCCTTCCAATATCCAGCGCATTCAGTCCTTCCAATCGAAAGTCCTTGGACAAATTGTCAAAGCACCTTATTATGTCACTAACTTCACTATCCACAAAGCCCTCAACATTTCTTTTGTCAACTAACTAATCCGGTCCAGTTTCCAAACCTTCCACCTTTCGAACCATCCTAACCATACTGCTCGAGCCCTCTCCACTCATTCCCATCCTGACAACACACCACGCCGCTTCAACCGACAATGGCCTCGGGACCTCTTTGACCTCTAATCGTATACACTGAGTGCCGGCTGGCACCTCAAAGCATGTGTTCTACCGGTCCAGTGTTGGCATTAGTGCTAGTGTTGTGCTGTGTGGTATATTAATCATGTGTACTTATTTGTATCGTATACTATCGTGTATAGCTAACTGATAAGTTAAAAAAAACCTATTTGTTTAAATTTATGTTATAGATTGTGTCCTGATCCTTCTCACTGATACACACAGAACATACGTAAAGACTTTAAAATAAATGGCCAAATTCTAGATTATGAAGATAAAATATTCTCTAGAGTGTGTCCATGGGTTGACAGAAGTTAATATGTCAACTACCTTTTCTGAGTTCTAGGTGCATTTTTGAAAATGTAAATAAGCAGAATTCTTTCTCTTTGAACGTTTCCAAATATGTTTTTTGCGGGTCATGGCAAAGTTTTTCTTTTATGGAAGCGTATCGAATGCACATTGACATGAGTTAAGCGCAATTTTCTCTTAATTGAAGATTATCGTTAGTCTGATTTTCTTATACGGACCGCGCGGTGCATCACGAACGAACGTTTACCCGTAAAATTGCAATGCCGAGTAATGCTTCGCATCGGGTATTTTCGACTGACCTATATACCTTGGACGGTCGAGGGGCGTTCCCGTCGAGGAAGTGCCGTAGGGGGAGCGGTCTGGATAATCCTGGCCATTAGACCGGCCCTCATTAATAAACAGTTACTGCGACTGCGAAAGGGTTAAAAACACAAACTCACACATGTCGGCCGGGCGTTGAGCAGAAAGGGCGTCAGGTATGCAATAAACAGTGACATTTACGATGTGCTAAATCTCGAAGATTTCACAACGCTCAGATCACTTAACAGCCACTTAACCGCCACTATTTTAGGCTTATTAAGAATGTTTATTAGTTAATAAAATCACTTAACCCATAAAATTAAAACGCCTTAGTAGTACTATGGACGTGTTCGTCAGATTTAAAAATTGTTAAAAATAATCTCTCGATGAGCATTGAAACCCTTTGTATTCTCACGAAATATCGATGATTTATTTTCTTAAATACAGATTTGTAGGTTTTTCATTATCTGCATGTAATTTGAAAGCACAGCAAATAAATGTTTGGCTATTCGTGTTATAAACTTTACCTGTTGATTCTTCATTCAAAATGACCAATGGACCAAAAAGTCCTAATTAACTAGGGTCCTAATCTCTACAGTTTCGGTGTTATTCCCCTTTTTCTGATTTTTTTAAGATTTCAGGACTTTACTTCCAATAAACAATGATAACTCCGAAACTGAAAGGTTTTTGACAACTCCGTTCATACGATTGAAAACTATTTTAAATTTCCAATAAGATGAGATCAATACTGAACTAGAAACGTTGCAGAATTAGGCGTTTTAATAGCCAGAACTTTGAAAAATATTTTTTTTTTTTCAATAATTATTCAGAAATCGTGAGATGCGGTCTGGTGTGATGTAGGTTTCAGAAAAACATTTTCTTTATCGTGCCAACGTTTCGATCTTTATTGAGATCATCTTCAGGGCTCAAAGTGTTTGTCTTCTGTATAATTGTGCCATTCTTGCGTGTCGAGTTGAGAGTGCCAGACCGAATCTCACTATTTCTGAATAATTATCGATTAACGGTCACTAATCACCACATACTTTTTTTTCAATATTGAAAAACTTACTATGGTGAGTTTGAACTACTATTTCAAAACCTAGAGACCAGCAAATTTCAGAAGACGTACTCCATTTAATATCCTTTTCAATGTATTGTAGCGTAATTGCTTTTTTAATTACTTTTTTCAAATACGAAGAAATTGATGAAGGAATGGTAAAAACCGTGGTTGACGAATTGGTAAGCTGGAAAGATATAAAAAAATAAGTTTAAAAAATCAAAAGGAAATTTTGAATAAATTTACTAAACGTTTGTTAATTTGGTTTCGAAACCGAAATAGTGCAATTGTTTACTTATTTACCAATACGACTGTAACTTTGATTCCAGGATTATTGTATTATTATTTCCCGGAATAAAAGAGTTTTAAGATTCAATTTTTTTAGTTCTTTCATTCAAAATATCCTCAATGTTGTTTATTTTTTTATTATTAATGTTTCCACCTTACCAATCTTTCAACCACGGTTTTTTCCTTTCCTTCATCCATTTCTTCACCTTTGAAAAATGTAACTCAAAAAGCAATTAACCAAAAAGAATATACAATGGATTACGTTTTCTGAAATTTGCTGGTCTCTAGGGTTGGAAATAGTAGTTTAAAATCACCACCGTGAATTTTTCAACATTGAAAAAAATATTTATTCAAAGTTCTGGCTACTAAAACGCCTATTTCTCCAACGTTTCTAGTTCAGTATTGATCTCATCTTATTGGAAATTTAAGATAATTTTCAATCGTATGAACGGAGTTGTCAAAAACCTTTCAGTTTCGATGTTATCATTGTTTATTGGAAGTAAAGTCCTGAAATCTTAAAATAATCAGAAAAACGGGAATAACTCCGAAACTGTTAAGATTCGAACCATAGTTAGTTAGGACT